ATCCAGCTTTGTGTCAGATCCAGTCTTCTGCCTACATGCTAGACACAATTCAAGAGTATCTAGCTGCAAACCGGTACAGTTTGGTGTAGTGGTTAAGTGTACGGACTCTAATCTGGGAGAATCGGGTTTGATTCCCCACTCCTCCACTTGCACCTGGCTGGATGACCTTGGGCAAGCCGTAGTTCTGATAAGAGCTGTTCTTGAAAAAGAGCCGTTTCTGTCAGAGCTCTCTCAGCCCCACCTACCTCACAGGGTGTCTGTTGTGGGGAGGGGGAGGGAAAGGAGTTTGTAAGCCGCTCTGAGACACCTTTGGGTAGTGAAGGGCGGGGTATAAATCCAATCTCTTCTCTTCTTCTCTACAAAACCTACTGAAACTAGGGGATTCTGTCTTCCTAGTCAATTACCAGTTGCACCTCCAGCCTCCCCCCCCCCCACATACACAGACTGCTCTACCCTGGGAGGCCAGCTCAATATTTCACTCTTCATCTCTCCACAAAGGACTCTCTGAGACTCCACTCTATGGCAAAAGGGGCACATGGACAAGATATAACCGCAATATTCCTACTGCGAGTAGCAAATAGTACATTAAGCACAGAAAATCTTTATTTCATCCCCACAGTTCTCATACATACTGGCCCTACTGACATCACAGTAACTTATTTTTGAAGATGCATGAAGGACTCCAGCTTGAAAAGCCTTAAAAATTGGTAACCTGAATTATCCAGCTTCGAAACCAACACTTTCCCTTAGCAGGTCAAATGACCAGCCAAACCCCTAGGAGGAATTCATACATATGGATGATATGTTTTAGAAAATACATTTCTGTAATCTTCTTCACTAAAGGAATCCCACAAAGCTTCAAGTTTCATTTCTAAATATTTCATTCATTCCAAGTGACACGTGAACTATTGTCACAGTGACAAATCTCCTATGAACCTGATGCGCTGAAAGATGCATCGTCTTAAAATAACTCTGTTCGCATGTCAGAGTCATCAACTTCCCAACATTTTATCGCTGTCCAACTTCCTCCTCTTTGTCTGGAAAGCCTTACCTCATTGGCTCTAATAATCTTTCTTCTTTGTATGAACGACATGATTTCTCTCTGCAGCTCAGATGCTGACCTTAACATCTGCACAAAATTGAAGTCTAGTGTTTCTCCGGGTTCCACCCCCCCCCCCCCCAGCTTTTTCATTATGTTAAAATGTTTATAACCTTTGCTTATACCATTTCCTAAGGTGGGACTCTGGAATGTAAGGGGAGCAGCAAGACTGTTTTTGAAACTACCAACAGTCAACAAAGAGAGGTTGGAAAGAAGTTAAAGATTATTACGGTGCATCAGAAAGCTCTTCGTGTTACCTCCTACTGACAGTCACCAAGAAGGGGGCACGCTCTACACTATATTATCAGATGTGTCACTATTTTACTCCAAATGTGGGATTCCCCCCCCCACATAAAAGCTTGTGCCTCATTAGAGAATGTGGTCTCTCAACATGCCTAATCCTACCAATAATTATTATGCCCCATATGTGAAGAAGTCTAAGGCCGCAGACAAACATGCCTTTAAATCCGACTCAGCTGCAAATGCCTGACATCTGGGAAAGGTCCTGCAGTCATCAGCGCCCCGCCACGGAAGCGGAGTTAAAAAACACTGGGGAAAGTCCAGTCCTAATGCTTGCCAATGGGCCATGGATGGACTTTCCCTTGTCAGGGTGCTCAAGCACGCTCTCATGTCGTTGGGATGATCTGCTCATTCCATCCCGACTTGGTGCTGTTTCTTCCCCCCTCGCTTAGCAGTATGCGCGTAACCGCATACTCCATGGGGAACCCTCAGTGCGGAGCTGCGATTCCTTGTTTATGTACATGGGAAACAAAATGCAAAAAAAAACACCCCTCACTCGCCCAAACAGGTTGAACCCACAGCTATAAAGGCACAGCGCAACGCCATGTCAATTTTCACCGGGGGAAACAGGCTCGCTTCTCCACCACACCAAACGGCAGGTCTGACCACGGCCTAAGAGATGCTGAAACCATTACATGCAAAAGAAATGTTTAAAAAGAAAAAGAAATAAACATTTCTACACAGGGTAGCCATGAAGCCTATAATAAGCAAACTATAATCACATCCAGAAAAAAGATGCACTGTAATTTTGCTGTACTGCAGTTTTTGTACTCCAATAGAAAAACAATAGCTAACACAATGTCTATTTTAAAGGTATTATTAAAGAGAAAAACTAAACCCCACAGCTGGAACAGTGTAACCTTGACCAAGAAATCCCTTAACCCTCTGTAAATAGCTAGGAGTAAATAAACTGCAGGATATTTTTTTTCTTTAAGGGCTATCAATATGAAAAGCAGGGAGCAGACTGACACTGCAGCTGCACAAAGTGCCTCCTGCTCACCCATGCTACTCAAAGTGGCTTTGAACATGAAGCATGCAGAGAAAAGAGGAAGCTATTGCACATGCTGCACAATAATGCCCACATGTGTGTGTGTCTCTCTCTCTCTGCAAAAGGGGGTGCATGCTTCTTGCGAAAGGCAAATTGTGCACTGCACTGCTGAAGGGACAGGAGGAAAAAGAAAGATGGCAGAAACCTATTTTGGACATTTCTGAGAAACAGAAGGCACAGGGAGAGTATTAGATTCCACTGCAACAGCCTCGGTATCTGGAATCCAGGGCTGAGTTTTTGAATCAGGATTAAATGTTACCACCACAAATCATAAACAAGTCTATCTCAGGAACACCTGGTAGGCTGGGAAAAACACGAGGTTTACACAGAGAAAAGTTTGTAAGCATTCATGTTCCCTTTCACCTCTCCACAGCAGAACCAGGACCCTTGCTCTCATAAGAAGGGATAATTCAGAAATACTGCTTTGAACTATTAATGGAGCTCACAGTTCCGCCAGCAACAGCACAGACTACAGTTGACCAAGAGAGCAATACAACGATCTACTGTCCGAAGCAATCCCGCAGGTGTACAATCCTACTCAAAAGTGGTTTTGTTCTGTTTTTAAGTTGGCGGACCACACAATTTAAGGCCAAAAGAGTCTGGTGGAGTGTGCCAAGATTTGCAAATCAAAGTGCCACAAACTGTGTGTGAGTTATGTTAAGACCACTCCTCAGGGTATGTGCAAGAAAAAGAATGCAGCCTCTTGACTACTTCTCCCGTTTACGCTCCAATACAAGAGCAGTATAGAAGCTCGCTGTCTCCTTTTGGCAGGATTTACACAGAGCTGGAATAGAGTCAGTTCTTTTATTTGAGTGCCTGAATGTTGTAGACCACTAGAGTAGCTGAAAGTGCTAGCCATGACAAATAAGTGAGAGGTGGCAAGACTGATGAATTTGTTTATGGCGCAACAGTCTGGTTCCTTAGATATAAAATATAAAAATGGAAGAATTGTTGCAGCAAAAAGTATGTATTAATTACTCTGCACATACTCTGAGGAATGGCCTGTCAGCCCCAATCATGACCAATGCTCCCTCTAAGCTGTGGGGTCTTGTGAGCAAAAATTCTACTTTGGGAGCTACTGGCATTAAAGTTGTGAGCCAGCGATCTGACTACTGCGTAAATCAGTTTGCTCTGGAGGCCCATCCTTCCTGAGCTCAGGCAAAAATGTCCGAGCTGGAGGCTAAAAAAACTGTGAGCTCGCTCACACTAACTCAGCTTAGAGGGAACATGACCTGGGATAGCCCAGAGAACATACTGTAGAAAGAGAGTGACCCTCACAATGGGCAATTACAGTTTATCAAGGTGTGGAGAGACAGGAGAGCAGAGTTTTGACACTATGAGAGGTAGGCACAAGGCAACACAATCACATCACTGCGCAGTTACACAGAACTAACACCGATTTGCATTCAACAAACCAGCTGGGTGCCTCACCCTCCCCCCCCAAAAAAAGAAGTATCAAAAGAAATGTACATTATTTTATTAATTCTTTTACATTCTCTAAGGGTCCATTCAAACAGAGACTGAGATGTGGTAACTTTAGCTGCACCAACTAAGGAAAATAATAACAGACAAGAGAATCCGAAGTCTACTGAAGTCAACAGTTTCATAAGGCTGTGCGGTTCTATTCAGGACTGCAAGGTCAGCAGAGAAATCCCCCTTTCTCTGTCACTGTGAGCGGCTTCTGCCCATTCCCCCAGAAGCCTCCTTGAAATAACAAGAAACTGACTCTCCAGGGCTAGGCCACCGGGAAGCAGGAAGCAGCCCAGGATCCCGCACCTGTAAGAGCGGCCCAGAACGTCACCAGAGGGAGCTTTTTGTAATCCCAGGGCGAGAACCGGCTCCACCTCCCCCGGAGCGAAGAAGAGAATCACGACCAGTGTTCCCTCTAAGCTGAGTTAGTGTGAGCTAGCTCACAGTGTCTAAGCCTCAGGCTCACACATTTTCATCTTAGGCTCAGGGAGGGTGGCTCCAGAGCAAACTAATGGATGCAGCCGCCAAATCGCTGGCTCACCGCTTTAACGCCAGCAGCTCACAAAGTAGAATTTTTGCTCACAAGAGGGAACACTGATTTTTTTTTTTAAATTAATACTATTTTTTTATTTTATTAGAAATACACAAATGCAGATATGCAGAGGAAACATTTTGAAACGACACAATAAATCCAACATAGAAACATTCAAGCAATCACGACTTCCTCTCCCCCCCACCACCATGCGATGAAAAATTTCCTACACTGGATTTCTCTGCGCTAGAATGTCCCCCCGTCCCCTGCAACTCGCGGAGACACCAGGGTCCCTTCGGGTTCCTAGTCCGGATCAGACCCCCTGTTGCAGGAGGAAGCCCGTGCCGGCCGCCAGCCTCCTATAACCCTCTCTCCCTCCTCTTCGCTCGTCGTCTGCGCCGGGTGCGCCGCCTGGAAGGAGTCTCCGCGAGCGCCCCTCCAGAAAGGAGAAGTGCTCTCGGACTAGGAAGCGCGGCCAGGGGAGGCAGAAGCAGCAGCCGGGGAGGGGGGGGGGGCGGTCCTTCCCTGCATGGGTCCCCCGCCCCACTTGCCTTGAGCTGGGACTTGGAGACTTTGCCGCTCCGGTCCACGTCGAGGGCGGTGAAGGCGTGCCAGATGGGCTTCAGCAGCTCTTCCTTCAGGCTCCCCATGATGACCCTCCTCCGGCTCCGCCGCGCTCTCGCCTCTCTGCCTCCCCCGAGGCGGCAGCGACAGCCGCCGCGGTGACCGAGGCCTCGGCCTTTCCAGCCCAGGCCACGCCCAGGCAGCCAACCACGCCGCTGCGGGGGCCGGGCTCCCAGAGGAAGCGAGTGCCTGCGGGCTGCGCTGCTCGCCGCCCGCCCTCCCTCCAGCTCCCAACCGGGAGGCGTGGCTTTCCCGACACGGTTCCTGAGCTGAAGGGAGGAGCGGGGCATCGTCCGGAGGGGGGCAATCGAGACAGACGCGTCGGGTAGAGAAGGGACGGGGCTGAGATCCAGAACTGCAATGCTAAGAAATAAAGGAGGAAAGTACGGAGAGAGAACCTCTCTCCAGAACCGGCTCCAGCTTAGTTTGCACCCTAGGCGAGGATCCCTTCTGGGGGGCCCCGTGCACCCACTAATTTTCAAAAATAAATGCACTTTAGGTAAAGGTTTCCCTTGCTCGAAAGCCAGTCGAATCCGACTCTAGGGTTGCGGTGCTCATCTCCGTTTCAAAGCCGAAGAGCCAGCGCTGTCCGAAGACGTTTCCGTGGTCATGTGGCCAGCATGACTAAACACCAAGGCACACGGAACGCTGTTACCTTCCCACCGAAGCGGTACCTGTTTATCTACTTGCAATTTCTTGCTTTCGAACTGCTAGGTGGGCAGGAGCTGGAACTAGAGACGGGAGCTCACTCCGTCTTGTGGCACCCGGGTCTCAAACTGCTGAACTACTGACCTTCCACAGCCTGCAGTTCAGTGTCTTAACCACTTGAGCCACTGCAGCTTTAGGAAGAATGAAAAACACAAATAATCAAGAAACTCCCAGAGTACGGGGGCCGGGTGCAGTTTGGTGCCCCTAAGGGCCGTCCTGCTCTAGGTGATCGCCTAGTGAGTGAGCCGGCCCTGCCTCTCTCCCCATTCCTGAGGCTTTTCCGGACCATAGGCGCTTGGAAGTAAGCCCTGCTGATTTTATTTATTTATTTATTTAATTATTTATTTATTTTTATACTTATATCCCGCCCTCCCCAGTGGGCTCAGGGCGGCTAACAGAGGCCAGATCATTAGTCTAGCCATAAATAAAAACATATAAAAACAACATCAAAACAACTAAACTAAGACTAAAGTGCTCTTTTCCTAAATCCAAGGTGGTATCCCCATGACTCAAGCTGGTATTCTCACCTACATATCCAGTGGCAACAGCCTTTCCGATGTAATACCAAGTTCTTCCTAGGGCCCCTCAATGCATCCATTCAGATGTCTTGACAGTGGTGATATAGTAGCCTGGCAAAAAAAAGCCTAGCAAAAGAGCTCCGTTTTGCAGGCCCTTCGGAACTGCTCATGTGGGGACTTAAATCCTTGTCCCTACGGCAGCTTAAGGCAGCTTAATCGAGGTGAGGCGGGCTTCACCCAGGGGCAGATTAACCATTAAGCAGACTAAGCACGTGCTTGGGGCACCACAAAGTTGGGGAAAGGGTGAAAAGAAGGAGAGAAAAAAAGAATGAAGATTTGTTTTTTAAAAAGTGATAAAACTAGTGCACATTGATCATGGTGCACCCTAGGGTTATCTTCTGTTTTTTGTTGGCGAGGTGCAGTGTGTCATAGGCTATGACACCAAGATTGGGGGCACCAAGATTGGTCAGTGCTTAGGGTACCAGTGAGCCTTACTCCGCCCCTGGCTTCACCCTCTGGATCAGAACTCAGCACGCCGCTGAAATCAAGATGGTGTGGTCTGTGTCTTCCCCCTTAGACAGCAAATTCGGGATATGAAGCAACCTTCTCTTGAATCTGGACATCAGTCTGTCAGGATCACTGTTGTCTACTCTGATAGGCAGTGGTTCTCTGGGGGTTCCGGTGGTAGAGATTTTTCACATTACCTGATCCTTTGAAGTGGGGATTGAACCTGCGACCTTCTGAATGGAAAATGGATGAGCCAATTAAAGTGGGATGGAAAGTTGATGAGCCAGTTAATTTCTAACCCGGCTGCTCAGCAATTTCATTGAGTGCCCACAAGTTCTTGTATTGTGAGAAAGGGAGAAAAGTACTTCTTTTTCTACCTGCTCTATCCCACACATAATCTTATAAACCTCGATCATGTCACCCCTCAGCCATTGTTTCTCCAAGCTAAAGAGCCCCAAGCGCTTTTACCTTTCTTCATATCATGTATCACACCATGAGAATCTATTGCACCACAAAAAAAAATTATTTTAATGTTATTTATTTATTTATTTTGGTTTAAAACCTGCCCTCCCCGTGAATGGTTTCAGGGCGGGTAACTACAATATAAAATACAACATATTTAAAACCAGATTAAAACAAAAGTATACAATGCCATACTCCTAAGTACCATGTCAGCTCAGATAGAAGGATATCAGCAGTGGTGAAAGATTTAAGATGTTAGGGTCCAGTCTGCTGGTGGGGTTGGCCCACTGCCTCAACCAAAAGTCTGGCGGAAGAGCTCCGTTTTACAGGCCCTGCGGAATTGTAGTAAATCCCGCAGGGCCCTGATATTACTTGGGAGCTCATTCCACCACAAAGGCCCTGGCCCTTGTCAAGACAAGTCAGACGTCCCTGGGGCCAGGGACTACCAAAAGATGTTGATTAGTTGACCTTAGTGCTCTATGGGGCTCATGTGGGGAGAGGCAGGCTTGAAGGTATGCTGGCCCCTGGACGTATAGGGCTTTAAAGGTAAGTACCAACACCTTGAAATGGATCCGGAATTCGATAGGCAGCCAGTGCAATTCACACAGCACTGGGTGGATGTGAGCCCACACAGGCGTCGCTGTCAACACCCGCACTGCCATGTTCTGGACTAGCTGCATGGGTCCACCTTTTCATAGCATTACCATAGATCTAAAACACAGAGCCAGAGCACCAGATCCTTATGGATCCTCAGGAATTCTATGTGGGCTTACCCAAAACTCATTAGGAAATCACATATCCTTTCCATGCCCACAGAATGATTCACAAAGAATACAAATTCGAGTCTTTGTGGCACTCTCATGGTGGAATACTGCATCAAATACTTAAGATCCTTATGACTGTTAAATGAACTTCTCATTTCACAATGCATTTTGAAATATCTTCACAGAGATTGTGAGGACCAACAGTTTTTCCATATGTTTCTGTGATTTGGTAATACCATAATGTTCTGGATTAAAAAAATTGGTAAAATCTGTGGAAATGAATATGATCTGTGATTTGACAGTGATTTTTCAGGAACTTTGTGTAAAGCTGGTAGGCGTCCATGTTTCATGCCATGGGCAAACACGTGGATTCTCTGTTCTGTGGCATGTCAATGGTGCAAAAGAACAGAGAATTCATGTGTTTGTGGTTCAGCCCATGAACATTGACATGATGTGTGAATTTTTGTGGAGTCCATGTAAAAATCATAAGACTCAATGCCAACAGATTTTCAAATGCAGTTTTTCTGCTATGGCACTCCCACAAAGAGCTATATCTCTGTTTTCTCTAGTCCCTTCCATGAACGCTAATGTAGTGTATGACATCATAGTTAATTTAAATGTATGGGTTGTTTTTTCTAAAGTAAAACCTCAGTATTCAAGTTAAATTGCCGTGTTGGCACTGTGCGATAAATAAGTGGGTTTTGGGTCGCAGTTTGGGCACTCGGTCTCTAAAAGGTTCGCCATCACTGGTGTATAATGTCGTAGTGATAAGAAGAGGAAGAGGATGGATTTATACCCTGCCCTTCACTACCATAAGGTGTCTCAGAGCGGCTTACAAACTCCTTTTCCTTCCCCTCCCCACAACAGACACCCTGCAAGGTAAGTGGGACTGAGAGAGCTCTTGACAAAAACTGCTCTTTTTCAAGAACAGCTCTTATCAGAACTACGGCTTGCCCAAGGTCATCCAGCCAGGTGCAAGTGGAGGAGTAGGGAATCAAACCCGGTCCTCCCAGATTGGAGTCCGCGCACTTAACCACTACACCAAACTGGCAAACTGCATGAAATGCTGAGTGTGTATGAACAACTGGATCTAATAGTTAAGTGATCGGTGCCAAGGTAAATGATGAAAGGCTGCATAAACTAGGGTTACCAGATGTCCTCTTTTTAGAGGGCATCTCCTCTGGTTTTGGTGTCTGTCCTCTTTCGGGCTCTTTTTTAAAAAACTGATGAAAATGTCCTCTTTTTGGGTTGGGAGGCTGAGTCCCGCCAGAGCGAAGAAAACCTTCAGCTTAAATAGTAAGGATATTTAAAATGGAGATCTAGCATAGCGATCCGTTGTTTGAAGTAATCAGTCGGGAAATATGTCCACTTTTTTGCTTTTCAAAATATGGTAACCCTAGCATAAGCAAGTAAACCCACAAACTAGGGATCTCTGTCTAACTGGGAGATTCCCTGGGTTTGCAGACTTATGACTTAAAAAGCATTGGAACAGCAAAGATTTACTGGGAGGGGAATCTCATTTTCCTCTCCACATTTCCTCTTTCCTTTCATTGAAAGCTTCCATAGCCTTTCTATATGTTCAGTGTTGCCACCTAGTGGCCTAGTTTAGTAATTGTTGGGGGATTGGACGGAGCTTGTCCCAGAGAGGGGGAGTTGTTCCTGTTGCTGGGCTGTTCCAGGTTGGAGGCCTGGCTGAGTAAGTCCTTATGATGTACATCAGCAACAAATATAGTTTTGCTCGGCTCACTCAGACCCCGATGCATTACACTGGTGTCAAAGATGGGGCTGGGCAGTATCTTCCCACTCCATAAGTAACAGTTCAGCTGCTTTGAGACACAGAACGACTTCCTATGGGATCATGAAGGAGTTTGAGTCAGATGCAGAGGACTGGACAGATGCGGAAACCTTCTCTCAGTACCTCGTTGCCAATGATGTGACTGCTGAAAATAAAAAAAGGGAGTGATCTTGCTGAGCATAGACTTATGGCTCGATCAGAAGTTTGGTAGCACCTGAAAAGCCCACAGACAAATCCTTTGACAAAGTGATTGGTCAAATCATAACCCCAAACCATCAGAGATTGTGCAGGATATTTAATCTAATAGTCTTATACATCCACCTAAAATGCCTACGGTGTCTCAAGTGGTTAAGACGCTGAACTGCAGGCTGTGGAAGGTCGGTAGTTCAGCAGTTCGAGACCCAAGT